ATATTCTATATTTGAATTATTTTAAAATTTTAAAAAAAGAAACACACATAAAATATCAAATTGAATGATTGGAACAAAAAAAAAAGGGATGGAATTCTAACCTTTCAAAAAGGAATGCAAATGGAGCAACCAATAGAGCGGCAATAGCATTGCGATAGGAAAGAGAGAAGACAACCTTCACTCATACCAACACCAGCTTTGAGAGAAGCATCATCCCTGCTGTCATTATTTGAACCACCACCATACTCATACCAGCCTTCACTCCCTCCATCCAACCCATCTAATTTCATTCATTTTTTTATATATACATTAACTTTAAATTTTATATATATATATAGAGAGAGAGAGAGAGAGAGAGAGAGAGAGAGAGAGAGAGAGAGAGAGAGAGAGAGAGAGAGAGAGAGAGAGAGAGAGAATATATACCTGCTTCTTCTTCTTCTTCTTCTTCTTCTTCTTGTTAAGAAAAAGTGGAGAGCATATATATACAAGAACGATGTAATGGAATATGATGTTATATAGACAGTGGAAGGAAGCTCTTCGTTGCGTGGAGTAAAGAGGAGGTGGGTGGTACTAGCCGTAGGCCATCACATCTCTATTTGATTTATTATTAGAATCAAAAGTTTAAAATTTATGCAGTAGAATTTTAGCTTCAAGATACTGCATGCCATTGAATTTTGACAGCTTAATTATTACCAAATACATTAGATGGGACCTACTCACAAACGCTATATATTCAACATTTTACTTGGGAGGGAGAATCACATATTTTCTTTGTCATTTATGTTAATAACACTAATGTATTTATTTATTTTAAATATATAGGTAATCTCACTTCTAGCTTCCTCAAACCCCTCTCAACTATTGTAGAAAATATTAGATGCGTGCAACAACACACACACAGACAACCAATTGTATTTGAGCACGCCCTCTCCTACGATTGATTGGCTACAGTTGCATTGCACACACCTAATATTTTCTCTCGGCTCCATGATATTCTTTAATCTATAACAAATATTTAATACGACATATTCTAGCATCACATATTAAAAAAATAAAATCATGAAAGATAATAAAAAATTATCATAAAAGTAAATTAAATAAAATTCTTTTATCTACTTTTTTAACTATTAATAACCAAACTATAAATAGAATAAAATTGAACAATTTTTTAAACACTTTAATAGATAAGAAAATACTTAAATTCAAACATAAATTTTTTTTGGGTATTTACATACCACCCAATTCTCATGCATTTCCATATCTAACACCTATAATTTCTTACATAAATTTATACCACCAGACTGCATGTAAATCTTCCTAAAGATAAATATATAATATGAAATTCTGAAGGGCTCCTTTGACTACCAGCAAATAAAAATTATATTAAGAAAATGATAATTTCATTCGACTAGTTTGGTGCATGAAAATAAAACCATCACATTTGATAAAACTTTGATTAAATATTTTATAATTACATGCATAACACCTGACATTTTGAAAAGATTTATTTTCGGCTCCAAGTAGAACAACAGAATATTTTCATTTGTAAAAACTAGTGAAGCAACATTAGGAAAGAACTTATGTACATCAACAGACTAAAACACTCGGACAAACAAAGCAGATTGGAAAAACAGAGCGATAGCAAGTATCTAAAAGAAACGGGGTGCTTTCTAACAAATACCAGTTTGTGATCATACAGGCACCCGCCTACCTCTGTAACCGTTGAAGAACTGCAAGAAGAGGAAGACATTTTTGAGGAAATAATAAAAACTCCTATGACTGATAAATAATAATAATAATCATCATCATTATCATTATCCTTTACCATATTATTTGGCAGCCGGTTTAATGAATCCTCATTCCCTGTTCGTTCAGTTCAAATACTGCATCGTAAACCTTATTTTAGTTGAATATTTTGTAATTTTCATATTAGTTTTTTTTATCTACCCTAACCTTCACATTTAGAACCATTTGATATTAATTGTATCTTCATGGATTATTTCCTTATTGTTATCGCAAAGCTTTTTATAAGAAATATATTGAATATATTTCGTTATGTGATGCTTTTAATAAGAAATGCTATTACCAAATATTTTGATTACATGTTTTACACAATAATTTACAAAACATAATATTATATTTATGATGTGTCATGTCTTATTTTTTACAATTATGTCATATTATCATGTTCGTGTCTTGTGCGAGTTTCGGTGCTTGTCAGACTTGCTGATGATGCAGAATAAAATGGCATATCATACATTAGAACTTTGCTTTAAGTAATTCCAATATCTTCTATGTATTTCTACATTAAATGCCTGAAAAAAAGCTTTTCTAAAGTATGAGTACATGATTGTATAGCATGCACAGGTTGCTTTGGAGGTTGCAACCCCCTCTTAAGAAGATAATGTTTTTTATAAGTTTGCCAGACTCTCAATTTCTAACTTTGCCCGTTTCAAATAAGAAAATGCCCAACTTAATTAGTTTTTTTCAATGGATTGGTTAATTATATCAATTGAAAGTTTATTGCTTTTATATTTTTATGCATTTATATTTTTGTCAAATAAATTCGGTGATACTATCTTATTAATTGTTCATATTTTTTTACTAAAAATAATAATTTTATGTATTTTAATCAATTTTCTATTATTAGTATTATATTATTTAAACTGAGAAAGAGGACTGGTCGACCACTGGCTGCAATGGTGATAGTGGTCAAATGTAATTGCAGGCAAAAAAAGTGTTTCTTACCGACGTCACAACAGATTGCTTGAAAATCCACCCAACAATCGGAAGCCTCTGCAAGAAAACTGCTGCAGTGGGCCAAAATCCTCTGTAAAATATTATCAAGCCCCAAGATTTATAAGATAAAAATGCCGAATTTATATATAATTAAGCCATGTATAAAGAATAAAATTTTCAAAACAACCAAAAAGTGGCCAGAACTGGAGTTAATAATATATGGGGCAATAGTTTACCAACCTGAAGAGAACTATAAAGCCATATGCCTCCAAAATCATACCAAAAAAGGGCCATCCTACTAAGATTAGGAATAAACCTGAACCAAATGAGGCTGTGCCCTGTAATAGGAAAAATGAGTAAAAGAAGCCAAGTATGAAGAATACATAAGGAAATTGACAGAAAATCAGCCATGATTGAACCTTGTAATTCTTAGGTTTAACAAAAAATTGCATCGTAGATTTCAATCCAATTGTCAGCATCAGTCCTGCCAGGAACAAGATCTGCCATTTCAGAGGATGGAGAACCAATGAGCACAGATCTTAAATATTTTCATGTAAAGGTGATAAAAAATAACAATAATTAAAATAAAGGGCTCACATTCCCCATGGCTAAGAGTCCCTTGTCAAAGAAGAATATGATTCCCAAAAAGGAGAAAAAGACTCCAAATCCGGTCAGGCCTATGCCGATTTCTGTACCATAGGCAGATTAGAATTAGATGATAAAGGAAAGAAGTATAATTGTTGACGCTTATAATAAAAGTTAAAAAAAATAAAAAAATAATTAAATTTAAATTTGAATATCAAATTCTATAAAGTAGGAATAAGCTTAAGTTGAATGTGAAATATAAAAAATTGAAGGACTAAACTTAAATTGAATGTCAAAACTCTATCGATTGGGTTAAGTTTAAGACATATATATTGTTTTTAAATGCTAAAATAAAGTATTAATATTTCAATTCTACCACCAAATTCGCAATACTCTTACTAGCGAACAGAAGGCAATCAATCCCTCTTAAAGCATGAAGATATTGCAATAATCCAATAAAATAAAATCCAAGCAAAAGTTTATAGCTACAAATGACATTAGAAATTTTTAAAGCATATGCAAATTTCATAGGGATTCCTCAAGTCCAATGAAATATCTTGAAAGTTAAAAAAGATATTCAAATATATGAAAATTAAATGCCGCATGTGCTTCAACCAATGCAGAACAATGCTCAAATACTAGGTTCGAGAATGTTATGCAGGCTAATCGGGTCGCCTTGTCTATAGAATAAGGTTGTGAGTTTCACCTCACTAGTGAGATCCTCCTCCTCATAAGAACTGAAGTTGACGAGTCTAGTAAGCACTAATAAATGTACAAATCCTGAAATAAGAATTTACAAGTCCAAATCACCTGACGTGAATCTCCTTCTTATAAGAACAAGTCCACAGGACTTACACCCTAAGAGTCTAAACTAACAAAGTTAAATGCCCCACTTAAAAGATAAATATTTCAAATGCCTCATTCCTCGATGATAGCCGTGTTGATTGAAGATTTCAACCAAAGGGATCAATCTTTTAAATCGAGGCTCTTAAAATAATCAATTAAAATATCAAACCTAAGAATAAATCACTAAAAGCTAAAAGTAAATTCTACCCACCCTCCGCAACAGTTTGTCGAGGGTGACAAACTTCTGATTGATTTCAACTCACAAAGAACAAATGTAAAATCAAATGTATCAATATATTCACAATTAAAGTAATTGCATGTCAGTAAATAAGTGACCCAAGTCCTCTGTCCGTGTGGTTCTGCCGCAAAATGACATCACAAAATAATAGTTACGACTAGAGCCATCTGACTGGGCGGTTGCTAAAAAATGACATCATTCTATTACAGTCATGATCACAGCCTGTATGTTCCCCAACGGTTTTTTATCATTTGAGTTGTGAATCATAAGAGTGCAATTGCCTGACAAAATCCTTCTGTTAGTTATGGTCGACTTATCCACTTAGACAAACATCAATCTCAGATCTACAAAAATTGTTTGGACGACACAACCCATGACTGTTGAAAAAAATCCTTATGTCAAGTTGGGTCAACTACCACTTCTGATTAAATAAATCAGTGACCATGATGGCCCAGGGGACGGAACCATGGAATATTGATCGGGTTTCGATTTCATTCCCCCACCATCCGCTTTAAGTTTCAAGTGATAAATTTTACAATTCAAAATTCTAAGTCTACTGCTATTATTCAATTTTAAATATTCAATGTTAAATGACTATACTTAATCGAAAGTGTTCTCCTATTATCGGGAGGGGTAATTAATCATAGGAGCTTGCGCCTATGGAAAACCTCGAACCTATATCAAAAATTCATCGCTAAATAAGAGTGAAATCTCTGGGTAGTGTCTTATCTACAATACAATCTGCATTTAAAAAACTCAACCGTTCAGAAAACTCGACCCTCAAAAGCTTTCTCTTAAAACAAAAATAAAAATAAAATGCAGAGAGTGTTCCTGGGGAGCGTTCGTGAATTTTTGGAGCTCGCTATAATTTATAATGTAATGATAGAAGTCATATAATGGCATAAAAATGTTCAATTCCAATAAACTACAAAGGGAAAAAGCTCACATCTATAGCCTACATGACCAGATTATGTAAGAAAAATGAAAATTTTATCAACCCACAATATTAGAAAAAGAAAAAAATACACCACTAAATTGTCTTTAATGACTACAGGATTTAGTGTCTTAAATCTTATTACCTTAGAAAATATAAACTTCCGGGAAACTTCAAAGTACATACCATGCAATTACGGGAAGTCCCCCCACATTTACCAACTTTATATTTTCTAAGTCTTCCCTCATTTCTTTGGAGGGTTTTCAATTATGTCATTTCACTTAATTATTCTCCACTCCTTTGATTCATTACCACCACGTGAATATGGTTAGAATACGAATAACTTGCATATAACTCCCAATTCTTTTCTATTTTAATACCTTGACATAAATTAAGTTCAAAAATGCAAAAAGCAGAAGGTATAAGATTTACTGATGAAGATGCTGTCCTCGTGAAACTGCTTTAATAACAGATATCAATTAAGATAATGACATAAAATTATATAGATAGCCAATGAAATCCTGAAGTACGTTGAATTTTCCTTTTCACTTGTTCTGCTTTGTCAGTTTCATTTCTTTTTCCCCCAGCAATTCAGTAAGGATATAGCATAAGAAAACATAAATTTGATAATATTCCAATTTCACGAGTAAGGAGAATTTTTGGTACTGGTAAAAGAAGTTGCCCGAACATTTAAAGAACACTAAGCACATAAATGTAATATTAAGACTCCAATTTATATCCCGACAAAAAGAAAAATTCAAAAAGGTAGAAAAATTCTTGGGACAAATTATTCAATAGTATTTTTATTAAGATGAAAATGAGTAACATAGTTGGAGAAGTTCATTAGAACGTTAAGTAACATACAGATGTTAGTAAAAAATACCAGGAGAGAGTTGTTTAAAAAAATTTTAGGCCAATTTCAACCAACCAACAATAAAAGTTAGTTCAAAATCAGCATAGAAATATGGCCATGATTAAAATCACAACAAAATAAATGCAATAAATTGCCCAAAGAACCAACTTTCTGTGACTAATAAAATAAAAGTGCCCCTTGAAGTCTTGGCATGAAAGTTTTCAAGTGACAAATTTACACGTACAATATAGATTGAGATTTTGTAATACAGTGATACTTGGACAGAAGTCTAAAAATTTGAAAAAGCAAAATGACGAGCAAGGATTGAATATAACATTAAAATTGCTTATTAAGGAAATAAGACTCTAGATGTGCAATACCTATCCCAGTATTCCCCTTGGCTATCAGAAATTTGACAAAATAACGTCCCACAAATGACATTATGCAAAAGTTAAAAAAAAAAACACGTGATGAATAATCCAAGCTATAACAGGATATCATAACAATATTTCTTCCTACTAAAATTATTGCCACTATATACAAAGTTGTCCGCTTGTAAAAAATGACAGCAGCCATAAGCATTGACCGAAAAAACAAATTCCGTCTTGAGCAGAAAATCTTACTTTTTGTGTCATTCACTTCAAAAGAAACCATTGTACCGCACTGGTAGTAAATTCAACCTTCTGAAGGGTATTGGCCTGTCCAAAAAAGGCTTGGGCTCTAAATAGAATAGGAAAATTTTTACACTCGTTAAGAAAATCATTCAAGCCTTATAAAAAAGGGAAATTTAAATAAGTTTGAAAAGATGAACAGAAAGAAAACTGTATTTGCTTGAAACCAAGAATATCATGAAGTAGTGCTTTGGTTATTAAACCCATCCTTAACAATCAAGTTGAATAACATGCATCCATAAAGCCTAGGTAATGTAAGATATCATAATACCTAGGGTTTTTAATGCAAATCTAGCATGAAATGTATAGAACTTCACTTAACACCGACTAAATTAAAAGTTAAAAATCATAAATGTGGAGGCAGACATGACTACTTATTGTTTGCCAAAAATCCCACCTTTCGCTATAGTCCTATTAGGTAGTAACACCAAGAATTGTAATTTGAACTCCAACCCAGAATTAATTCTACATGGTTCAGAAAAATTCAATTCTAATTAATTGTTTAGTTGGAATTGTCGAACATAGCAAAGTGTAGTTGTTGATTTTCCTATAGGCATATTTATGAATCGTTACACGCAGGTCTATCTTTACACCACAAAATGTACCTTTGGCATGCACATCACCAGAAGTGCATATGATTTGATCACCAATTATAGCTTTAGTTTAATATAAATATCTAGAAAAATGCAAATGAATTGTTGGATGAGAAATAAGAAGAATTTTATCAAAAAAGAGAAGAATTTGAGGCATTGGTTGATTTATAATATAAAGTAAAATCATATACATTAAGAACTGAACAAATACTAAGATTTTTTGGGATTTCTAAGTTATAAGAATTTATTCCAAATCAAAACAATACTTGATATGATCTTATTTTTCTAGCATTTAATTTCCTAAGAATGTCTAGAAGGAACTTTTCTAGATTGAGATCAACCATCGTCTTATCACTTTCTTTGGATTCTAGTTATCATTGTTAATATCTTTTAAGATTTATAATTTATGTATTTTACATAAGCCGTAAAAGAAATGTTTTGATGCAACTCTTAGATATGAATAATGAATAATGTAAGAGAATATGATGCATCTAGGGACAAAGAAAAATAATATATGTTCTCTAACCAATATCACATACATAATCCTAGAAGGGGGAAAGACATGACAACCTCAAACTTGCATTGATTATATTCCATGAGTTTTCTTTTGATAACAGGTAAAACAAATAAATATTTTTTACTTAAATAAGATATGTTCACATAAGTTTGATGAACAAGCTCATCAATAAAAAATAATCTAAATTATTTACTGATTAATCATTATGAATTATATATCATTAGAGTCTGTTGGATAGATGAAGTTTTGCATATTAAATTTCTTGAAATTATTTTTAAACTCTTGGATAAAAATGTCCAAAGTAACTCAATCTTTTTTTAAAGTAAATTAAATTTCATAGATATTACACAGAGCATTTATTTAATACAATCATTCCTTAATTTATCATTCCCAAATCCTTCACAAATTCATTTAAACATTCTCATTTTTATCGCACTCAACAAAGCTATCAATAACCATTTTATCACCAAATGCTCAGATCCATACAATATGAAAAGCCAAATTACAATTTCTCTAAGTCTCCTTTCACATAATAAGGCAGTTCTCCATTTAAACCACCCAATTTCACTCTAGAAGTAATGCTCTCACCTCCGCATGATACATCTAAAGAACTTAATTATCACAATTAGTTATCTCCTGATCTTCTAAAAATATTAACTAAAAATTATTAATATCACTACAATTAAATTGCATATTATGTATTAAGTACTTATTTTACTAATTATAAATCCTCAATATTGATGCAACACGTGGATAAAGCAAACCAAATTAAAGATCATCTTAATTTATTTTGCATTTTTTTTTATTTCACTTGGGTAAATTTAACTAGCCATTTATGAAAGGGGACATGTTGAAATAAAAAAGCGCATCAAGTTAGAACTTTTCCGCCCATTAATGGCCAGTTATCTCCTGTCTCTCCCTTTTTATCTTCATTTTTCCCCTAAAATTCTGACCTAAGTGTCCTGTAATGCCTATAAATATTGGCTAATAAGCATTATATTTTTTACATAATGAAATACTATGGTGAATAAGCATTATTCATCTACTTGTTGTTTAATAGCTTTAAGCTTATGCCTTTTCTTTAATGACAAAAAAGCTATCTTTATTTCCTTTAAATTATTCACTACTCTCAAAATCCTGCTCTAGGCTCTTCGCTTCTCTTCCTTCACTTCACAAAAATCCTCCAAGGCCAACTAACGAACAATCAAAGTCTCAAAATCATTCCAAACACTTCCATATAACTCTCGAACAAGGACAGTCTTATTCCCTAGACCTTGATATCCTTCTAAACTTCACAAACCCCTACCATCCAAGTCTAGCTCATAAATTAATATCATAAACTAACCCTCCACAAGCATTTCTAACCCTTCATGACAATTAAAAGTGATTCTCGAACGTGATTTTTCAAATCAACTCAAACTAATCAAATTGAACTTGTCACAATATTTATAATACCATATTCCTTTAAATTTTTCATCATTGTATTGTATACTTTAAAGACTTTCTATATTAAACCACAAATCCACAGCCTTTTTCAGCCCTTAATCTCACCATAAGGCTATTCACCATCATCATATATTTTAAACATTCTCTCTAATATTCTTTCACTTATTTCAACAATTGTTCCATCAATTAAATTGTATTTTAAAAAACGACACACCAAGAGACCTCATTGTGAATAACCTTTACAAGCACTTTCATAAATAATATAAATGGATCTAAAACTAACATTAATCCTTGATGTTAGGAGCTCTCTGGTAACCCACCTATTTTAAAATCATTCATATCATTAATAGCTTCAATAAATATGCCAAATCAATTTTGTATTACTCAATCATGTGTCTTCCTAATGCTAATAAGGAGTTAAAAACCATTATTTTCTCTATAAAACTTTTATGGAGTATCTTACCAACAGGATCACTTCCATAAAAGATTTTAAGATGAGACAGAATTGATTCTCAAAAGGCGACATAAGTTATTCAAGTCAATGTTCCACCATTCACTCCCATAAATTACAATAAATAGCTCAATAAGATTGACTCCTATGTAATTACTACAATCCCGAATGTCTCATTAATTTTTTAAATATTATTACTAAAAATTTAAAATACTTCTCCTTTAACCATTAGTTTCTTTTAGTTCTAAATATTTCATTGAAAAAAATTATTAATCAAATCGAAATAATATCCTCCCTGTCTCTTTAAATCACAATAGACATATTACCTACACTTAAATTCCAATTTTATGCATCTTTTGTAGAGCTTAATCCACTTTACCTTTTTAGAATATAACCCACCTATGTATTTAGTTAACAATATCATTGACAGTATTGACAAGGTAATATCAAATTAGACATATTTAATCACCAGTACTGTAGTTTCACAGATCTCATGAGTCATTAGTTCACAAGAATTTTCTGATTCCAACATAAAATATAAGTTACTTAGAAGCATCAGTCAAAAAATCAACATGATAAACTTTACAATGTGCAGTGACAATCACATGCCATCGATATAAGATATTATGATGTTTCTACTTCACATAGGTTAATACCAAAGTTTGCAAGCCATTCTCTCAGCAGAGATGCATAATTTTTCGATTTGAATAAATTGAAGTAATAGGCATTGCTTGTAATGGAAAATTTAGCATCTTATAAACTAAAGCAACAATGGCCAGCTTCTCACATCAATCTAAATAAAGAGCTAAAAATTGTATCTGCTATCTGAAAAGACAATAATGCAAACAATGCGTTCGAGCGGAATGCAATAAGAATTAGAAAGCGCCACCATCTTGAATAAGAAGACATAATCATAAAATAGGTCAAAAATAGAGCTTAAGCATCTTTCCCTCACCAGTCCAAAAAAAATAAAAAAACATAAACCTTGCTCATTCAATTCCTACATAGATGGAGCACGGTTATCCAAAGCACGTAATCCACCAAAACGCCATAAATATTACCAACTTCCAACGAAAGCATGAGCATATAGTTCCCCAAGACAAAGAGAACAAGGGTTTCTATCTCTCCAACTTCTGATCTTTCTGAAATCTTACAACAAGCTTGAATCCAAATCTTTATGCCAAAATAATTCAAAAACAAAAAAAGCTCCGCATATCAAAAGGAATATGATTGAAAGCACGACAAACGTACAAGAACAGCCGGCATACTTACCAAGTGGTAAGGCAGAAATCAGAGAGAAGAAATGAGATAAGAGATCACCGGAACTCGCGGCAGTCCGCCCGAGGGGGTTTTGGCGTGCAAGGGTGCCGGTTAAGAAAAGTAATATGAGGCATTTACATAGATACCACCTAACTTCTATGTATTTATATATCTGGTACTTAAGTTTCACTTTTTACATTTATACACCTTTTAATGCATATGTAGGATGGCATCGTTAGTATTTATTTCTAAACTTTATTTTATGGGATTTAATTTAAGAATTTAATGGAAGATTATATATATATATATATATATATTAAAATGATATGCATCTTAGAAATGTAATTTTGAGTTGCTTCAAATTTTGGAACATGTGATTTATGTTTCTTTAACAATAATAGTGTCACAATTTGGTCTGATAGCTTAGCACTAATTAAGTGTGGTTGGTATGTATTAATGTTTTATTTACTTTTATAGGTTTTCATAACTACCAATTTATACGAGAACTATTAAGAACCACAACGTACACTACAAAATAATCTAAACATCTAGAAATAACAACAACATAATCTGTAAACATCTCATCTAATATATAACAGGATCTCACTACCTGAAAAAAAAAAAAAAAACTATAATCATATCGTAATATAATACCTATCGGTTGCAGTCTTCCTCTTGTAAACTAAATCTCATAGGTAATACATATCAATCTATAGTTTTTTTCTGAAATAAATAATTATATTCAACCGTAAGTTTTCATGACTTAATGTGAAATTACAATCTTATAATGTATTAAATTCATATACAAATGTTGTTAATTAAACTATAACCTTTCATTTTTTATTTTTATTTTTTCGTTTCAATTTAGGTTTTTATTATTTTTAATCTTTTTAAAAAGTGACATCAGGATTATTGTCAAACTCAAAGGTATCTTCAAAATTATGCTCGTAGATACCCTAAAAATTTGTACCCAAAGGTACACCTTCATTTTTCATTTTTTTATTGTGCACGGGTACATCACATTAACTGTCAGATTTTAGTTGTCTTAATCATTTACCTTTCATTTCTTTAGAAATAATGGACAATCATTTCCTTTTTTTCTCATCTCATTTCCTTTAATTCTTAACCTTATAACAAAAATATAATTAAAGAAATCATTTATTAAATAAGCATTTATTTAATACATTTAAAAAAATATTTACTCATCTTTAATGTCACAATTTTCTTCTTCTACCTCCAAATTGAACTTCTACAAGATAAATCATCTTAAATTAAACATATTATTAATATTTTAACGCACACACATACACATACATGCATACATACATACATGTAGGTATATATATATATATATATATATATATATATATAATAATAAAAAATATATATATATTATATGTGTGTATATGCGCGAGCGCGCGCACAAGCCTTGGCCTGTTGGTTGGCGGTGTTACTGTAAATCCCCTCAGGTCACCATAGGGCCTAGCGTATAAGGAATCAGTATTTGAGCCTCTGTGAAATACCAATTCTTTCTAATATATATATATATATATATATATATATATATATTAAATTACCTAAACAACATAAGAACAAAAATAATTTCTACTATTTATATAGTGAAATTGCAAATTCCAGAGGCCCCAATTGCCCACCCTTCTATATTGGGATCAATATGCCTTTTGGATTAGTTTCAGCTTGGAGGAAGAGAAGCAGCAAATTACAGGAAATCAAAGATCAATGTAAGTGGTAATAATTTAAAATATAATCTCCAATTAAAAGAAAAATATAATTTATTTATTTATATTAATATTATATTTTTTATTTAAAATTAGGGACATATAAGCCTCTAGAAGAGTGGAACCTGAAAGATCAGAGCTTGAGCTTTGGAAGGAGAAAACACATACATACATACATGTATGTATATATATATATATATATATATATATATATATATAATTCAAAATTAATTATTGAAATTTTTATAAAACCTTTTTTTTTTTACCAAAAGTTTGATAGACGAGCACACTTTCTCCTTCTCCCCACGCATGGACGCAGAGTCGCTCGACCTATTCTGTCTCTGAGTTATTTTTTCTTCGAGGCCGACAACACAAAGCTGGCTTCAACAACCACCAGCAAACTCAGCGATGTTGACTTCTCCTTCCTTCAGGCACGAATGAAAAGAACGAAAGATCGAGAGGGACTCCCCCGACGATTAATTCGATTCGACACAATTTATTTCATATATTATTATCATTATTATTTTCATTTATTACAAAGAAAATTTATTTCAATGAAGCTAGTTGTCCATCCGTACCAGTAACGCACTTACAATATTAAGGCTCCGTTTGGGGCCGTTTTTTACTACTTCGCGGCATCGAATCGCGAAAATTGATCGTTTGGCTCCCAGCGTCGCGGCAGAACAAAGCTGAAGCGGAAGAAAAGCGAGCCGCGATATCGATTCCGTGGCCCCAACTTTCGGCTCGTCAAAAGCTTTTTTACCCTCGGTGCAATCCTCCTCCCGCCTATCCCCGCGCGCGCGCGTTCTTCTTCCCTCCCGCAGACCAAACCCTCCCGCGCGCGAGCGTTCTTCTTCCTCCTCGACACCAGGACACACATTCTTCTTCCTCGACACCAAGACCGATCGCGCCCGTTCTTCTTCTTAGACACCAGGACTGAACCATCCGCGCGTGTTCTTCTTCCTCGACACCAGGATCGAACCCTTCCGCGCACGTTCTTCTTCTCAACCAGAACCAAACCCTCGGCGAGTTCTTGCCGCGCAGGTCCTTCCTCGAACAGGACCGAATCCAGGGAGCACGAGCAGGCAATCCGATCTTCTTCAAAATTATTTGAGAATGGTTTTAGAATTGGGGAGTTGGAACATATGAGCGAGTCGCACAAATTAAAAATACTTTTTTCTGAAAAAATGTGAAGGATGCTAGAGAGTCTTGCACTGCAAAATTATTTCAGAAGGCAAAACTATTAATGAATGGAAATCAGACAAGGGAGTTGGAAGCGAAATGCTGTTTCAAGTGGACAATTTTTTTATTTTGCTCATTATAATATTGATTTTCCATGTTGTTCTGTCTTCCATTGCTGCTATTACTCATGTTTACAAAGAATTGACATCAATTTGTTAAGGTTTGTTTCAGTAAAAATTCATGAGGCTTGTTTCAATCAATTTTTTTTTTAATTTCTTAAGGCTTGTTTCAGTAAAAATTCAATGCATCAAGGAATTGACATCAATTTGTTATAAAAATTCAATGCATTAAAGAATTATTTTATTGCACTAGGAGGAATACTCTTTGTAGATTATGCATC